AAAAAAATACAGAGAGGAAAAACGTTTGAAAATCAGTCAAGAAACAAAGAAGTGTGTTTCTGAGAAAAAAATCAAATCAACACATAGAAGAAGACTTCTAGTTTGTGATCAGATATTTGTTTCCTAGTGATTCAAAGACGGACTTGAGCACCAACCTATCGAAGAAGCAGATCGATGACTTCCGCTGCGAATTATAAGGTACACATCTCGTTGTTGAATAACCTTAATATTCAGAATCTTAGTTTAGTTAAGATGTGTCTCTGTGATTTCGATCATAGTATAGGGGGTACTTGTGTCTTATCCCTAATATTATATATTGGGTCATATGACTTAATTTTATGTTGTCCGTATATTTTGAAAAACTCCCAAAATTTATTTTTATTTAAAAGTTTAAAAATACAAGATCCAAGTAAAATTTGATACAAATATAATATTATTTCAACAAAAAAATAAAATTAAATAGTGATATATCATGGTTTGTTTTATCGGTGATATATCACTTAGTGGTGATGGTAGTCTATAGTAATGATTAATGGCGGTTATTGGTGGCGGCGCCTGGTAATTCTAATAGATATTAGAGATACCTAATAGTGGTATAATAAATACTTATCCGTGTTTTTATGAATAAAGCTTGAGACTTTTGAGCCTGGTTTTCATTAAAAATAGATATTACTTGTGGTTAGGCGTGGCAGAATGAGTAATTAATATGGGAATCCGTTTATATTTACCCATTTTAAATGGGTTGAGTATCCAACTCATTTAAAAATGTGTAAAAATGAATAATGCCCATATTATCCATTTAAAAGTGGATAGTTAAATGGATAAAATGGGTAAAAGATATGCATTCACATGAATAAAAAACATGGGAATCCGTTTATATTTACCCATTTTAAATGGGTTGAGTATCCAACTCATTTAAAAATGTGTAAAAATGAATAATGCCCATATTATCCATTTAAAAGTGGATAGTTAAATGGATAAAATGGGTAAAAGATATGCATTCACACGAATAAAAAACAGTGATAAAGGGTGGGGTAGTAAGAAAGTCTTTTTTTAAAAAAAAATCTATAAAAAAAATGTAACGTTTTTTTACATTTTTTTGGGATAAGGGGGTGGGGGTGGTAGGGGTGGGGGGATGGTAGGGGGGTGAGTTGGTAAAATTTTTTTAATTTGTTTTTTTAAAAAAAAATTATTAGAAAAAATTTAAAATTTTGTTAAATTTGTTTTTTTGGATGGGGTGTGGAGGGGAAGGGAGGGGTGGTAGTTTTTTATTTAAAAGAAATTAAAAATTTTAATGAAAATTTTTAGAATTTTGTTGATTTTTTTTTTGGGATGGGGTGTGAGGGGGGGGGGGGCTGGTAGGGGGTAGGGTGTGTGGGGGGTGGTAATTTCTTTTTAAAAAAAATTAAAGAAATTTTAATGAAAAAATTTAAAATTTTGTTAATTTGTTTTTTGGATGGGGTGTGGAGGGGGGAGGGCTGGTAGGGGGTAGGGGTGTGGGGGGGCTGGTAGGAGGTGGGGTGGTAATTTTTATTTTTTTTTAAATTTAAAATTTTGTTAACTTTTTTTTGGGATGGGGTGTGGAGGGAGGGTTGGTAGGGGTGGGGTGGTAATTTTATTTTTATTTTTACATTATTTTTGGGATAGAGGGGTAGGGGGCTCGTGGGGGGTGGAGTGAAGTGATAAAAAAAACTTAATTTTTATTTTTATTTTTAAAGATTTTAACAAGATTTCTATTATAATATGGATAAAATATGGTTACTCATATTATCCATTGGGTAACTCGTTTTTACCCATTTAAAATCTGAGTCGAGTCGAATAACTTATCCATTTTTATTTAACTCGTTTTTTGATTGACTCATATTCGACTCAACTCGCTCGTTTGCCACTCCTACTTGTGGTGAATGATGACGAGCTTGATGATATATAGCAATTTTTTTGTAGTAATAAGTGATTGTAATGATAGTTAATAGTGATTATTGTAAATGGTGATAATGATATGTGGTGATTAGCGGTGGTATGCTCTGATTGAAAATGGTGGTTGCTAGTTCATAATGGTGGGTGACAACAACGATTAGATTAGCTGCGAAAGTTGATGGAGTAGTGATAGAAATTCAAAAATAGATAGCTTAATGATATTAAGACTTTGTCATAGTTCTTAATCATCCAAATCTATTCAAACCCATTACTAGGTATAAAATAAGAAAATAAATACACTTATAGGTTGTTTTGTACAAAGATTAATATAACAGGAATTAGTAATGAAGGGTTTATTTTTTATCAACTGTTTGGTTCATTCCTTCCCACCTCATCTTGTGTTTGGATTAAAACTTTATAAAAAACTTATTTTCAATTATACCCTTAAATTATTATGTAATTGAGTCAAGGTAGATAATTGCAGGACAATATTTTTTTTTAATGGTCTTCTAACTAGCTTTGAGAAGAACAATTTTATTGTCATGTTAGCTATTTTCTCACTTGAATTATTTGAGGATAAATAATTGTCATCTTAATAAAGTGATCACTTACAAAACGTCAATTTTCAATTAAAAAAGATAGATCATCTACTTTTAAAATCGAAAAGACAATAAACAATAGTAAAATCTAATAAATCATCTACATTTACACAAAAAAACTTTCAAATTATACAAGTAGACACTTAAACTTGTATAAAATTATACATATAGACACACACATCCTACATGGCATCCTACGTGGCAATTTGCATCCTACGTGGTGTCCTACGTGTTTTATGTCACGTAGAACTCATGTGTCTACTTATTCGACTTTATACAAATATGAGTGTCTACTTGTGCAGAACCAAAGTTGAAGGGCATTGAAATATAAAATGAGGCAATATATATAAAGGGCCTCTTGATTATTAAACACAAGTTTCATCTAATTGATATGTCCAAATTTTAAATTTTCTACCAACTATTTGATCCAAAATATCTCACAAATTACCTTTTAATAAAACACAAAATTCAGATGTAGAACATCTGTCAGAAATGATTATGCCAATCAACATCGGTATATCCAAAGATCTACTTATAGCTTCAATCCTCGAAAAGTAGTCATTTGCTCAATGACTTTATATATCATAGAATGCGGACAACAACATCCCAATGACTATCACAAGTAGAATAGATAAACTAACACACAACACTTAGGAAGAGAAATGTCATGTCTAGTCACAATGAGATAATTCGATTTACCAACAAGCTTCATATATCTTCAAGGATTATTGAGGGACACCTTTTGTTTTCTTTCTGGCAAATTTGGCATTTACATAAAAGATTTAGACGCAACCAATTGTGACTTAGGGAAATTGTGAATCCGGTATTTCATGAAAGGAGCAAGTATATGGATATATACTAAGTTCATTATATTAGAGGTTGCATATCCAAGAAATCAGTTCATGGAATCTCAATACCAAGTTGTGTATATTTTCATTAAGTCATTGAAGATTAATATTTTTTAGAAGCTAAAAATGACTCTTGTAGAGATGAATCAAATTTAATGGGGATGTTGAATACTTAAATTTTGTTCATGCATAGTTCATTAAGGCAGTATATATAATACATAAACATGACCCTTAATTTAACGTTAGTTGACAACTATGACCTTTAATTTTAGGTGCATGTGCACAAGTAGACACTTAAACTTGTATAAAATTGAACAAATAGACACATTCGTTCTACATGGCATTCTACATGACAATTTTTGTGTCCTATGTAGCGTCCTACGTATATTATGTCATGTAGGACACATGTGTCTACTTGTTCAATTTTATACAAGTTTAAGTATCTACTTGTGTGCAATCAAAGTTGGAGGGTGTTGTCCGCTGAAGCCAAATTAAGGATCATGTATATGTATTATACCGTTCATTAAAAAGTATATATTTAAGAGTTGCATGTATTGGTGGTTGGTCTTATTCATATTCTTACAAAAATGAGAAGTCTAAAATTAAATTGATACGCAAGTATCATAGACAAAATATATGAAGTAGTTCACCTATAATTCAACTCAAAGGGATAAGGTAATTATAATTTGAGGAAATAGTGACAGTGATAGAACTTTGAAAGATGGGCTGGCACGTACAAGTAATAATGAATACTAGAAGTACCTTGTTGTTTTATTCTTTTAAATCAACCAAATTTAAGCAAGCAAGAAAGGATACCTAGGACCCTCCATACGTGGCTTTCATGATATCACATAAAAGTTGTGGATGACTAGAAAAGAGACGATCTAGCAAACTGAAACTACATAAAATAGTACAAAGAGCCCATGTGATAGTGTTGCATCTGCTGTAAGGTGTAGCCTGTAAGCCATAATTACCCACAGCCTAAAATTTTCATATCCTTGTCCAAATCCTTATATTGAGGGGGGTACATCTCCTTTTCTTTCTAAATTAAAAATAGAGTAGTGGTATTGGAAATTGAATGTGTTTTGCTAGGGATTAAGAAGGAAAATAACCTTTAAAAATGTATTTTTCAAAGAAAGATGCAATTGTTAAGACTCAACAAGGAGAGATAGAATAACCAGGTCTCGAGTTTGTTAGGAAGAGCTTAATCCCTAAAATGAAATTTTTGGATGCAAATTTAAATTTAGTTGCTTCAATGTAATGTTCGAAACCAAAAAAAAAAGAAAAGGCAGAGATAGAACAGTGAGCAAATTTTGAAAAGCAAAATTGTTCGTACTTTGAAAAATTAGAAAGTACACAAAGCCCATGCTTCCTTACTTCATCAAACAAATATCGGAATTACAATTTGGTACAAAAGATATAAGTACAATAAAATGGAAGATTACTTTATTTTGAGTTTGCTTAATTAGTAAGTAATTATTTATGTCATATATTTGATGATAGGATAATTTTGTTTAGTTGATCATAAGCTTTCTGAAATTGTGTTGTTCAGTTGTTGAAAAGGAAATCCTAGTTATTAGAAATTTATTCAATCAAATGAGAAAAATGTTTGTCTACTAGCTAAGAGAAAAATTACCTGGAGCTTGAGAATTGAAAAAGTTTTCCCTTTTGAGAGAAAATAATAAGAGCAACTTGAGCATCACAAAGAACTGATAGTTCATAAGCTTTCTTCATAACTCCATTTCTCCGTTTAGAGAAAGTCACTTGCCGGCTTGTTGCATTCTCAATCCTCTTCATCTCTACCTTTCCTCGAACCATTTTCCTGCACACAACAGATTTTGAAATCAAATAGAGTAGCTATCAGCTCACCTTCAATACGAATGAAATCAATTAAAAATGTTCAAAAAAAACCCTAGCAAGTGATATATTCCGTTGGGAAAGAATGAAATGAAAGCATAAAAAGGTAAGCCAAAAGTAAAAAAGGAATAAGTAGTAAAGATCGTCGATGTATTCATCTCTTTATTCTGAGACCAAAGAATACGATATTTCCTAATTCTATCGTATTTGTATTTCCTTTAGTTATTCCGTTTGTTCAACAACAAAAAAGGAAAAGCACAAAAAAAGTAAGCATAAGAAAGTCTTGTCCAAGTAAAACCTCATTGTTACCTTGTTTTGGTAATCGATCTTGAAATAGACGTTAATCATACACAAACAATAATACTCACCCATAAATGGGATTATAGAACATTTTATAACACTCCATTTAAGTGTACCAAAACTAGAAACAAAAAATTACCCCACCGTACCGGTGGAAAATTTGTGTAGTAAAATATAATTTTTCCATTCACTTCTTATTGAATTAACTTACTGAAAAAATACAAGATAAGAAATAGATTTTCACTTTAAAGGTATAATCTATATATAAAATAAAGGAAAAACATAGATAAAGTGATGTGATACCTCTCTATGTGACCTTCATTTATATTTATCGTTTTTCTCTTTTTTGGCATTTTTTCTTATTTGAATTAATTATTATATTGTTAAAGTAAATTACTTAATTTATTACAAATAAAATTTTATTAATCGAGGAACATTTACAACAAAAACTCTTCATATTCTTTTTTTATATGTTTGCCTCACTTCTACCCATAAAATGACAATATTATTTTATATTTTAAGTATTTTTCTCATTATTATTTAATTTATTCACAAGGAGTTATATGACTTACACCTCTTTAATTTTTACTTTAATAATATTCATAACTCACATAATTTTTATGTCCATAACCTCCAAACTTAAATTTGTAAGTTTATAATGTCTTATTGTATTCATTTATTTTGCCTATAAATTCATATATAGTTTATGAAGATTTGCATTTAAGATTATCATTTCTCTTCATCATATTGATTTGTGAATGAATTAACAAGTAACAAAAAAGAAGTACATGAAGGTAAGAAATATTTCATTTCATTCTCCAGCCTTTATTTTTTAATTTCCTCTATTTTACCTGTATAAATTCATATTTAGTTTCATATCACATTCAAGATTATCATTTTTCTTCTTCATTATATTTTTTTGTGAATTAACTAACATGTAACAAAAAAGAAATACATGAAGGTAAGATATATATTTCATTCTCAAGTCTTTCTTTTTATTTTTATTTACTTGGACATGCTTCTTAATTTTTATTTATGTATGCATTATCATTCACCAAGTAAGTATGATAAAAAAAAAAACCTTTAATTTAATAATGAATAATATGTTGGCAGTATGTAATTGTTCTCTCTAATAGTCAGTTTTCGGAATATAATGTATTTTGATTATAATATTTGTTGGATTTCAAGAGATAATTATTATTTAGTATTGTTAGTACTTTTGAAAAATCAATATACAGATGTATTACATATAGTTTAAATTTCTTCTTTCTTTTGATATAATTAATTCTTAATTGATATATGATATTTTATTTATTCATATATTTTTTTATTCAATTGGTAACATATGATGAAGAGTTTGACATATGGAGCCAAATATGGTGGTGGATCTACATGCAAAGGAAGATGGTAGAAGCAAAAAAAAGAAGCATAATTAGAGATTATTTTTGCTAGATTTTTTTTACTTTGACTTGTATTAGTTACTTAGCATCTTTTACTAAAAAAATTTAAATTTTGGTTTATATAAATAATATAGCTACATGTATTGTCAATGCTTATCATTTGGTCCTTTAGTATTTTACTTTTTTTTTTACCATTATTATGAAGCACAATTAATATAATTATCTCATTTCAACAACAAAAAATTATGATAATTAGGAGTTTCATTTTTATTATTCTTGCAAAAAGTAATTGAAAAATAAAATATTAATTTCATGATGCCATTTTTTGTCTATGTAACAATCTATTTTCGTCACTATTCTTTTTTTTCTGAAATGTATTTATAATATTTATGCAGTCACCGATTATTATATATTTTTGTTCATTTTTTGTATTTTCACCCCTTATTTTCATTTATTTATTTTACAAATAAAATCAATGTATAATTATTAATGCATTTAATGTCTAATAAAATTGTACATTTGAATTATTTATATCTCATATCTCTTCATCTTACTTGTAAATTCTAATTTTAAATATCATTCATTACCTTTGTATATTTTATTTTTCATAATTCTTATAAATATTCAATTTAATTGGTGTTTAAAAATTATAATAAACAAATGTAATAATAATGACACAATAAAAAAATTCAATTTTTTTTTACGAATCAGAATTTGTATAGGAAATTAGTATACTCCTACAAAAGATAGAGGAAATTAAAACATATAAAATATTTTCAATATAATACAATATATTGTTATTTTAAAATATTATCTATTATTTCATTTACTTCACCACGGTGAAATATTTTGTGCTAATATATATATATATATATATATATATATATATATATATATATGAACAAGTTGCACTTAAAAAGATGCAACAAAAAAAAACTATTTTATATGTTAAAAAAATGAAAAAAATGTATCATGTCACAGATGAAGAACAATATCAATATTAATTATTCTATATATTTTATAATAACCTAAATATAAATATTACATATAATTATCTTATAAATATCTCATATAACCGTGCAAAGCGCAAATAATTTCAACAGTTTAATAATAACACAATAAAAACGAAAAGAACGTTAGTATAATTTTAGTGTAGCCAATTAAAGAGTATATAGCGTGGGGTTTAAAAGTGATATATTTGTAGGGTGGGGAAATAACACCATCGTACCATGATTTGACTTTTGAGGAATCACAGAATGACATCTCATCATAATTATTTATTATGAAATATTTGAGACTTTAGGCCAATAGGAATAAAGTCAGTCACGTGGCTCAAACACCATTTGGCGTGACTATTTAATTTTGATGCTAAGATAGACTACTAGTACTCTTTACTGACTACTGTGCTACGCTCCGTTATATTTGAGCGGTTTAAAATAAATTAAGATAAGAAATGGGCTGAGATTAATTTCACCAAAAATACATGTAGATAGGATTGTCAAAAATTATGGTTTAGAGTCAACTTTATTGAGAGGTTTTAATTATTTTTTAATCGATATATACAAACAAATAATAACATATTTAGGGCCTGTTTGGAAAGTTATTCTTGTGATAGAATTTGGTGTAATTACATTATTTGTCTTGTTTGGTTGACCATGTAATTATATGGTCAGCATGTAATTGAGTGTAATTGACAAGGGATAATTATACTCTCCAATTTACAGGGAGAATTTGTGATGGTGTAAGTACAAGCGGATTATTTTTTTCTGTTAAAATATTTAATTTTTAATTTTTTTTTGTTTTAATGTATTTTTTTTTTATTATTTGAAACTATTTTTAAGTTTTCTAATTTTTTTATTTTTTTTATATTATTTATATTTCATTTCCTTCTCATTCTCAATATTTACTTCATGTGATTCCATGAATTTTCGTATAATCTAAAAAAAATTATTAGTATAATTTTGTTAGTATTCTAATTTTTAAATTAAACTAGAATTTATTATTGAATAAAGTTGTGGACTTAAGTGACATAATACATAAACATGACCCTTAACTCGGCATCAGTCGGCAACTATGACCTTTAACTTTGGATGTGCACAAATAGGCACTTAAACTTGCATAAAATTGAACAAATAGACACTCCATCCTACATGGCACCCTACACGGAAATTTTGTGTCCTATGTGGCGTCCTACATGTATTATGCCATGTAGGACACGTGTATTTACTTATTCAATTTTATACAAGTTTAAGTGTCTACTTGTGCATACTCAAAGTTGGAGGGCATAGTTGTCCGTTGAAGCCAACTTAAAGGTCATGTTTATGTATTATGCCTAAGTTTTTCTTTTCTTTTAAATCATATTGATGTATGTTATGTTGAAATTTGTCATAAGATTATTATGTTAATTTTTTTTGTTTTAAATTAAGAAATTATGTTATATTTTCAATTTTATTTGATTTGGGAGTATTAACTCGATATTTTACATTGCAAGCTATTCTTTTAAGCTAAACTTGATAGATTATCTTTTTGTTAAATATTTTATAATTTTATGACATTATTTTTATAAGGCTTAACGCATAAGCAGACCGTTAAAGTGCGTCTATCAGACACTTCATGGGCATTACCCGAAAAATATAAATTATGTGACTTTCAAACAGTATAACATGAAAAAAAAGTGAATCATAATGCGACAAGTGGCAAATTAAGAAAAATATCTTTTATCGATTTTTTCCATAATTCTACCATTAACATCTTTTCTTCTTCTTTTTCTCTTTTTTATCATTAACAAATATAATCAAAACTTGAAATTACCAAGAAATCAAATAGGTACAACTCCGTATTTAGTTATTTTTAGCAACTTTGTTCATGGGTTTTGCTTAATTATGTACGTACTTTTTTTAATTCAACCATGGGGATTAATGATGCTTCAATTATACCATTTTAATTCTAACTTTTTTTTTACTCGATTTAACAAAGAAAGTGAAGGAAGAGGACATTTTCAAGAGGTGATTATGACAATTGACAGTGTTGGGGAAATGAAGGACAAAAAATAGGGATAAAGAGAGATATTAGAGACCTCTCACGCGCTTTTAATGAGTGCACCGCATTCACTATGCCAGATCAGCAATGTGTGCCTAATTAATAGACACACTTTGAATATACATTAGGTGTTTAATAGGAAGAAGGCCTTCCTAAGGTGTCTAAACGGGAATTTTTTTTTATGGTAGTTGAGGCACACCATGTCATAGTTGTGTGAGGGAT